GGGGAGAAGAAGAAGAATAAGATACATTTTCTTTTTATTTTTTTCTTCTTCTTTTTGGTTTTTTATTTCAGTTTTTTAATTGTTTAATGTGGTAAATAGAAAGTTATTATTTTACCCTTTTAAAATTGATTAAAATGTGATCAAACTTAATTTTGAAGGTCAACTGACGATATTTTGGATGAAAACCATCCAAAGGGTGTTACATGCAACGGTTGGAAAGCTAAGGGGTGACAACTGCAACAAATGAAAAGTTTGGAAAAAGTTTGCTAGTGTTTTAAAGGATTGGAGCTTTTGTTGCAATTTTGCCATTCCATTAAGTACTATTCTTTGTGCTGAAACGGTTAATGCACTAGCTTTGCAATTATTGCCAATTACATGCTCGAGTTAGCAAGCTTATGGTAGTGACAAAGTAGATAGACTTAGCGTAAGGACTATATTGTCACACAAATGTACATGAAAGACTTAATGAAAAATGTCTATTGGGGTGCTAGCCTATCCAAGATAATAAGGTATGATCCTTATATAAGTTCAAATATTTCTAGTTNGCACTAGCTTTGCAATTATTGCCAATTACATGCTCGAGTTAGCAAGCTTATGGTAGTGACAAAGTAGATAGACTTAGCGTAAGGACTATATTGTCACACAAATGTACATGAAAGACTTAATGAAAAATGTCTATTGGGGTGCTTGCCTTTCCATGATAATAAGGTTTGATCCTTATATAAGTTCAAATATTTCTAGTTTCTTATGAATTAAGAAAAAGAAAAAAAGACCAAGCAAGCATTTGTTGGGAGTCATTTAAGCATGTTAAATTGAGCGCAATTTCAAATCTCTTGTTAATACAAATGCGCATCTTTTTTGATGTAGCGCGAAGCATAAAAATGATCGAATAAGTTCCTTGATTTCAAAGGAATACCGCAACACGATCACATTCTAGTTTTATTGATTTCTAAGAATAACTAAAATTTTGTCACAAAAAACTCTTTGATTCATGGACAAATACTGGGAATTTGGGTTTGTTCATTTTAAATACTGCGAATTTAATAGATTAAAAACTCCGAAGTTTATTTTATTTCAATTCAAAAATCACTTCTTGCCACAATAACTTACTATCCTCATTTTAAAAAAAAAATATCTAGAATCTAGATAATTAAGATAATTAATAAAATTTAGATAATTATTAAAACTAAAAGAAAATGATAAAATTAAAAGCCGTAATATTCAGAATTAATTTGAAATAAACGGAATTAAAACTTAAAGTTATTCAATAAGGAAATAAAACCTAATATACAATTAAAAACTCAATCTTCATCTTTCTCCTCCGATTGACAATGATTTGTCCTCGAATCTTGCACTGTGTTCTTTATCCAATTTCTCATGACAAGGACAATCCATTTGATAAATTACTTATAGCACGTTCTTCATCTTGAACACAAGCAACCTCCTTCAATATTTTTTCAGGACCCACCATTCCAAGTCCATGAGCCTCTAGACTAAGCATCCTATGCAGGCTCCTCAATAAATCACGAACCACTAAAATTCTTGATGATTCCTTAATCACCTCAGCAATGAAAAACTCTAAAGGAGTAGCAGGTTGTAAAGCCAACGATCCCCTGCTCTAAGGAATTGTAAATGAATTCAGTATCCATTGCACGATTGGGAAACAATATTTTCATAACCTTTGTTAGAGATTCTTCAAAATTAATTATATGTAATTCTACACGTACTACTTTGATTATTGAAGAGATGCAGAGAACATGAAAATGTGATGAGAGGAAAAATGGAGGAAAAATCTATTGCAGTCCTTCAGCTAAATTGTGTGGCCAATTACAACACTAACCGGTATATAAACTAATCGGTTGAAACACTACAAAGCAAAGGGAAAAAGGAAAAGACTAGACTAACCTTCTATAATCTATACAATTACATAAATATCCTTTAGTTAAAATGGTTTAACACTCCCCCTCAAGAT